TAAAAAGATCATTTGGAATGAATCCCTGTCTTTTAATTGGAGAATTTAATTCATTCACATTGAAGGTAATTATTGACAGATAAGGTCTTAACTATAGCTATTATACAATAGCTACAATTGTCTTCATTGTAGTTCTTTCTCTCTTATAGTCTTTGTGGCTAACTGATTTTTCTCTAGTGGTGTATTTTGATTCTTTGGGGGTTTTTTTGTCATTGTTTATTATAAATTTTTGCTTTATAGTTACTATGAAGCTTACAGAAAAACATCTTTTGACTCTAAAAAATATTCCAAAAAACTAACTTGGAATAATAGCAAGTTAACATGATTATATAGATAACAACAGAAACAAAAAAGAAAAAATACACTACTAATAAGAAATTTCTACACTTGCATCCCATCCTCCCATTTTGAATTTTTGATGTCTCATTCTATATCTCACATCAACAGTTATTATTTTTTTAATCTTCATGCTAAAGATATGAATGGCTTATGTACCATGCTTAAAATATTAGAGCATGCTGCACTTGTTTATACAATTACCCTTCCCAGTGACTTTTGTACTGTCCCATGTTTTCTTCTTATTCATTCATGTCTTTTAGTTTGAAGAATATTCTTTAGCTTTTCTTTTCTTTCTTTCTTCTCTCTCTGTCTGTCTAATTTTTTTGGAGACAGGGTCTCACTATGCAGTTCAAGCTGGCCTTGAACTCACTATGTAGCCCAGGTTGGCCTGGAACTCACATTGATCTTCCTGCCTAGGCCTCCTGAGTGCTAAGATGACAGGTGTGTGCCACCACACCCAGCTTAGCATTTCTTGTAGAACAGTTCTAGTGGAGATATATTCTCTTAACTTTTGTTTGTCTGCAAATGTCTTCATTTTCCTCATCTCTAAAGGATAGCTTTGCTTGAAAATTGTGTATCACTCTATTCTGGCCTGCTGAAAAGTCTGCTGACAGATAAATTAGAATATCATTGTGTTTTCTTTTCTCTTACATCCCTAAGAATCACTTTATCATTCCTCCTTGAGAACTTGATTATATTCTGGTGCAGCTTTGGTTAAATTTGACTGATACTTTTGGCCTTCCTTTACCAGGATATTTTTATCTTTCTCAAGGTTTAAGTAGTTTTCAGTGAATATTTCTCTGAATAAACCTTCTACCCGTTTGGTTTCCTCAAATCCTTCTTATATTCAAGTGTTCCAATAACCTGAAACTTACACTTTTAATAGTGTCCCAATGTTTCTGTAAACTTTCTTTATTCTTCACTTTTTCTCCAAATATGTATTTTCAAATAACCTGTCTTTGAGTTCAGAAATTCTCCAGTTTGACTTATCTTATTGTTGCCTTCTATTGTGTTTTAAATTTTGTTGTGTTTTTTTCAGTTAACGAACATCAGTTTTTAAAATTGCTTCCATCTCTGTTAAGTTTTTTTGTTGGAATATCACTTCCATCTCTGTTAAGTTTTTCTGTTGGAATATCGGAGTGTTTCTGTTTTCTTCAAGCTCACTGCATTTTCTTAAAATAGCTATTTAAAATTCTCTGAGATTTCTCCCATACTCATTACTTCTATTCAATTTCTGGCATCTTATTGAGGTCATGGGTTCCCAAAAACTCTTGATGCTTGTTGGTGTGTGACACCAGCTGGGCACTGAAGGATTAGGCATCTATTCCAGTCTGTCTAATCTGGCTTTGTTTGTTCCTGTCTTTCCAGAAATTATGAGCCACCTGCTTATCTTCTGAGTCTATAGTCACTATTTCAGCACCGGATGGTGACCACGTCCAGATTTGTAGGGCATTTGTTATTGGTGTCATGGTTTCATTACTAGAGGACTGTATCACTTTCCTGTTGCGGGGACAAATTCTTGACACCCACAACGTAACAGAGGTTCATTTTGGCTCAGTTTTCAGAGGATTCAGTTCATGGTCAACTGGCTCCAGGGCAGAAATGGCACAGTGAAAGAACATGGCACAGGACAGGTGCTCACCACATGGCAGCCGGGAAGCAGACAGAAAAGGAATAGCTTGTACAGGAACACAGCCCTGCAGGTCACATCCCTAGTAACATGCCTCTTTTGACCAGACCCCATCCTTGAATGTGAGACTTTTAGACCTAAACCATAACAAAGGCAATCTAAATTTAGGTTTGTCCCAAATACACTGTTGGTGTGCTCTTCAATGGAACCAGGAGAATACAGTAATCTGTGCCCTCAGGCCTCTTCCTACAGCTAGAGTAGGCTCAGATGCTTTGTCCAGTTTCTGGTCTGCAGTCAGGTACTGTAGGATTCTGCCTGGTTTTCAGCAGGGTCATCATGGGGTGATCAGCTCGATTCCTGTCACAGCTGTGGTCATAATGCTGCCAACCTTTTTCATACCCTAAGCCAGTGATGACAAACCTTTTAGAACTTCAATGATACAAACAGCCTGCTGTGAAATGCATGCCATAGGTTTGCCACCACTGCCCTTTGTCTATAACCTGCGAAGACAAGCACAGCACTGTGACAGGACCAAAGCCCACACTGCTATGTCTCTGGGTTGCCCACTGCTGAGATGGAATGGTGGACTTGGACTTGTGGCTGAAGAACACTGTAACTAGCCACAGGTGATGCTAGCTTTAATATAAATGCAAAAGCTGGGGCCGCGTGTCTTCTACAGCACGAGGCTGCTCCTGAGGACCCATCTACAGTTAGGTCTTGGGATGGGGGCCGTTAAGACCTGCCCAGTGTTATATTTCACTAGCCCAGCACTCAGTTGCAGAACAGTCTTGTGCTTACTATGGTTTCTTACCCCCAGTTAATGGGGTCTTCCAACCAGGCAATGCTGCCCAAGCTTGGGGTGGTATTAGTTAAGGACTACCTATAGGAACTACCTATGGGGTAGTCCTTTGGCCACCCAGGCTGGCACTATGCTGGGTTGTGCCTGAGTCTCACAGGCACAGGGACTCGGGCAGTCTCAGGGTGCACTGAGACCCATCGAGAAGCTGGTAGTGATGCAGGCCAAGGGCAAGTCTAGATCTCCATCTGTGAGCACTGGCCTGGTGACAGCTGTGCTGTCCAAGAGTGAAGAACGGGTGGTAGACAGCCCCTTTTGCCATTACGCCTGACGCCAACTATACCTGATGCTAACTAAGCATAAGCAAAGTAGTTAATTCTTAAAGCCATAGGGTTCTATGCAGCCTTTGGAGGACAGTGGGTATGCCCAGGTCCCACTTTAAGGCCAGAAATGATGTAGCCAAAGCTTTTAATTTTTCTTGGGTACTTATCTCTGCTTGACACCAGGGCCCGTCTAGAGGCTCCATCTGTGAACTCTGGCCTGTGTATGGAGACTTCAGCTTCTTTTGGATGCTGGGTCTCATTATAGTGGACCTGGCACAGAGTCCCAGGACAAAGCTCTGTTCTCTGGTCCCCAGGAGATGGAGTCTTATTTCCAGCTATGCTAAAAAGAGTTACAGAAAAGGGGTAGAGACTGTCAGACACCTGGCCTAACACAGTGACTCAGTCTGTAGGTAATGGTCTAGGGGAAGAGGTAATGGGGCTCTGCTTCATTCTGACTTTTACTGTGGCAGGCTTGGTACTGGGGTTCAAGTCTAAGGCCTGGCCTTAATTCTCTCTCCTTCTCCCAAGTGAGAGGCATCTCCCTCCACGCTAGTTTTGCTTAAGAGCTGCAGGAGGGGTAGCAGAGGCACCTCTATCCTTTCTGCCCTCTTCAATGACTTTGTTACACTAAAAGCAGGAACTGTGGTCTCTCACCTGATTTCTTTAGCTTCCGTGAAGGCAGTTTGGTGGGTGAGCAGTAGTTTAACTTGGTGTGTCTGTAGGGAGACCATCATAGGGATCTTACTCAGTCACTACCTTGCTCCCTCCTTTTATTTTTAAAAGGATAAGAAATCATAATAGGCTTTACTACCTTTCTAGGAAGGGGTAAATAGTCATCTGTAAGTTGAGACAGAAAATTCAGCTTACCATGGGGTGGGTGCTGATACCTATAGGAATTTGGCTTTTTTTGCCAGTTGTTTCAGAAAAGTAGTTTAGAAAAATAATTTTGGCCTGAGATATAGCTCAGTGGCACAGTGCCTGCCTGGCAAGCCCAACGTTGTGAGTTCGATTCCCAGTACCAAAAAAAAAAAAAAAAAATTTCTTGTCTCCATAAAACTAAGGATAAAACCAACTTCATTAAAGTAATTCTTAGCACATATTAGAACCTCAATAAATACATACTAAATTATTCTTTTAAAAAGTACAAAAATTCCACAATTCCCATAAGGGAACTAAAAAATAAGTGCATCAGGAAGTATAAAATTGATCATTATTCCTACAACCTTTAAAGAGACCTAATAAAAATTATCCATAAAAAGATACAGAACACTAACAACCTAAGGACTTCTGGGTATGTCTAAGATGAACAGTGAGAGAGGAGGTTCCTCAAACCTCTGGGATTGTAGACTTTGCTGCTCTAAGTCTTTGTCTCTTCATAAACAAATTGAGATAGTTCATTAGTCTACATGTAACTGCAATGCTACGTATTTGAAAAATTAAAAGACTAGAGGCATATAAGTACAAAAGGGGTGTTAAGTATCTAGTGATTCATATATACTCGCAGCGTATCCTGACTTTTCCTCAGAAATCTCGTATTATCAAATTCTTGTTTAGCCTAAACAGAAATATAGTAAAAACACAGCCAGTGGTATTAAAATAAAAAGAAAAGGCTTTCATGCTTCAGCCAGTAAATGATTTGGGGGTCTATTTGTGTTAGAATCAGTTGATTTATGATTTTTCCTAGACAAACATTAACAGTCCTAATTAATGGAGGAATTCAGCAGGAAGCGTTATGCTCCCACACAAAGCAGGGACAGGTAGTAATAACAAGTGTCCAGCTCTCTAACATGTAATGAAACATTTAATCCAGTATTTGCTATTTTTTGTGTGAGTAAAAAAAAAACAACAACTTTGTTGCACTAATCTCATTGCTTAAGTCATACCTCGTGTACTACCTGAAGAAAGAAGGCCATTTAAGATTATTTTTTAATTTAGTAAAATAGTTTAAAAAATTTCACCATTGTATTGTCTTAAACCCATACACAAGTTAATCATCAGGGGAACCATGTTCAAGAATCCAAGAAATCCAGAGAGAAAAACACAGTGACACAAACCATTTACCAGTGACAAAGGAGTCGGCAAACTGTTGGAAAACAGAGCGCTTGTAATAATGAAAAAAAGGACAGAATTTTGTAACCAATCACTTATTTTCTTTTAAAAACACATAACCACATTAACTTTTTGCTTTATACAACCATCTAGAAACTATAAAACAGTACCACATTGTGCATTTAACCTACTTATCAAGAAGGGAACTCCACATGTCATAAGAATACTACCCATATAAGAAGGAAAAAGGAGACAGCTAATAGCATAGTCACAGATACAACATGAGTCCAAGCAAGCATCAATTCTTTGACGTCACCTTTTCCATTTACCAGAGTGGAGAGTAAGAAAGAAAGCAAGGGAGAAAAAAGAGGGAAAGAAAGAAGCACCCACAGGGGACTAATCACAATCCATAGTTATTTTTGACAACTATAGTTCAGGATTTCATAGAACAGTATCATTTGACCAACACGGTGTGCAGGAGGCAGGGTGTGTGAAAGAAACACAACCACAGGGACAGAGTTTAAAAATAAAAATACATTTTTCACCCTATTTCCCTCCTAAATACTCTTCGATGATACAAACGTCTGTGCTAACACAGAAAATGGCAGGAAATCAATCTTCACAACGCGATAAATCTTTAAGAGTTTTGTTCTTTTTGCAGCTGAAATGTGAGTGGCTCACAGTTTTACTTTACACTTCAAAACAATGTCATGAATCATTACTCTTCAGGGATTTCTTACAATCTTTCTCCCTATTTCTGCCATGCTGGTGTGGCTACAGACAAACAGGAAAGTGTAGGTAGGGACTTCAAAGGTAATGATCAAGGGATAGTGAGATGGAATCCTTGCTCTTTGAAGTCCACATTTTTCTAGTAGTACTGCAATCTGTCCTCTGGTATGTGTAGTTCCTCTAGAGGAAAGGGATATAGTGGAAGTTTAGTCACATAACTGGCTTGAAGGTATACAAGATGCAACTGTAATTAACGGACATACTGAATTCAAGGCAAACAATAGGTTGGTTGATTGTCCTTAGGTTGATGGCACCATACCAAAAAAAAAAAAAAAAAAAAAAGAGAGAGAAAAAAAACTAAAGGTAGGATTGATTTAATGATAAAATAAACCACAGGTCTGCTACAAAGCAACATATTTCAGTTAAAAATTAGTATAATGATGCTCCTCTTTTCAGGGGAAACTCGTTTTGTCCCTTTCACTTCCTCTTTCACCAGGAATTAAGAAAATATATTTCAGAAAGTTGTTTCTGAGGGCAACTTGGTGTGTTTTGATAATTCATGCAAGAAAGGCATCATGAGCCGTATCAAGCAGCAGGCTTTTCTTCATCCCAGGTAAAATTCTCCCACTGATTAACTTAGCTTTTCCAAATTTAGTGAGATTTTACTTTTGGTGAGCTGAGTGCGATTAATGCTGATTAGTTTGTTGATTTGTAACACCAAAAAGCATACATTTCTTACGCTACAATAAAATGAACTCTATTGCTAACTACCAAGTGTAACATTGTATAGATTTACAATGTAGAAAAGTTGGGAGATTTTAAGATTTAGTATTGACTGATATTTGTAATGGAGAAATATATATATATATTTTAAAAATCTTATACTTTCCTTGCTTTAACTAATTACAACAAGCAAAAAAATTATTTTAAATCAATCAGGTCAGAAATGAACTAAGGTGATAAAAGTGGTTTCTTCTTCTCTACCTAACTTTTCCCAAAGTTTGACCAGAACTTCTATTCTCACAGGTCACTACAGATCTGCTGTAATGATGCTGGCTTCTTATTTGAAAAAAGTACAGTGATTTCTGTATAAGAGAGAGCTGCAGATTCAATAAGATTATTTTTTAATCTAAGAAGCTATGTTAATTTTAAAAATTGAAATACATTATATAACAAATACTTATTTTTTGAGTTAGGCAAATTTTATGCTGACGATTACAAGAGCAATAACCTGAAACCTGTTTATCAAATTAGTGTAATCACTTCGGAGAACTCAACATTTTTAAGTAAAACAATACTACAGATATGGTCATTTTCTAAATTATTTTCCTTAGAATAAGAAATTTTTTGAGTCACTGCTTAGAAAATTGCATTTGGAAATAAAGAACTGTTTCCTGAATAATGCAAAGTAGTGGGGAAAATGATAGGAAAATGAAGGCAGCTCTTCCCAGCAACAGAATAACCACTGATGGACGGAGAGGCATCACCTGCGTGTCTTCAAGCTCACATGCCTTCCTAATGACTTGCTTCGGCGGCCGAGGTCCAGCATCTTCTGGCTCTTCTCCATGAGCTTCAAAATTATCTGCTCTCCAAGTAAATGTCTGTTAGTGTGCTACTTGTATGAATCAGTGCTAAGTTATTTTTTTCTATTCTTACTTTGACTTGGCTTATCTATTCAGAAATGAACTCCTTTTCTAGTTGTTTAACTTTGGCTAAATCATTGTGTAAAGATACCATGTATCAATAAATTACTCCTAGCTCGGTGGCGCAGTACCTGCCTGGCAATTTTGAGACCCTGAGTTTGATTCCTGGTACAAAAAAAAAAAAAAATTACTTCTAGTAAGAAGTCAGTTAAAACAAAAATTTCACCTTTGAATACTGGGAGTAATGGATCCTAAGAGCCTGACCTCTCTTTCTTCAAGGGTTTGTGCAAGTTATTGCTGAGGTACTGGCACTCTCCTCTCACACCACTGCTTCTGAATCTGAAGTTAGACAGTTCCTCTACACAGTCTAATGGTTAAGTGCTGGAAAAAAAGCTGCATGTGGGTTTTCGGCTTCTTTCTAGAGAAGAAATGACCCTTTATAACCTCATTAATGACTTGATCTTTGATCATCTCATTCTTTGTGTATGACAAGAACTTCACCTATTATTCTCTGTAATGGTACAGGCAGACTTAAATATAGACACTCTTTTGTGCGTAGCAAAAAACCACTCTCTTTTGTTTTCTAATTTCTCTATGTATAGCAATGCTTTTAATACTATCATAAAATAAAAAATGAATTTGTACTTTCTTTTCACTCCTCTAGGGAAGTATGTTTAACTGATATTAAAACTGAGTGCTTTTCAAATAAAAACTAGAATTTCTAAACCTAAAATGAGAAGAAATGTTTATCTTTGGTTAGACTGTAAAATGACTGTCCTACTAACCTCTCAAGAGTTCTTTTGAGAGTATTAGTGTACGAGTTTCCAGTAAAATTTTAGGTAGGAGATAGCGTTCACAACTGCTAGGGCATATAAAATTGAGAAGTGAAAAATGCACATTGCCTATTTTGAAGGAAAGAATTTAAATATATACTTGTCTCCCAAGCTTTCTTGATGAGGAAAAAACCCTCCTTTCTCTTTATGTAAAGCTGTATGTTTAAATATATAGTTGAGTATCTGTCACAGTAAGTGGAAATTTACACAAGTCTTATTTTTTAATAGACTATGCCAATAGCACAAACATATCAGAAGAATAATACATTCTATCATAGTATTATCTATGAAAAAATAATACTGACTAGGGCCTAGAATCATAATAGAGAAAGACCAACCTGGTCATAGGATACACTTCAGTGAAAATATTGGGGAGTTGAAATATAAGAAATTAGCTGTAAAATTGTGTGTGTGTGTGATCATATAGATTTGCTAAGAGAATGAAACTGACAACTCAATGGCTTTGGATATGCATTAACACTACCAATTTTATTTGTATAAGAAATGACTGATCACTGATCATTCTCTATATGCTCAGTAATAACTGTTGCTATTGCTTGACAGACCAGTGATATTTCCGCTATGTATTAAAGTACAAAAAATAGAATAGTTAGGGGAAAAAATCCTAAGTAAAAATAGTGCAAACTTTAATCTACCAAGGGACACTAAATTGTTACCACTGATTATTATATTTCAATTTATTTAAAGTTTAAAAAAACAAATTTTTCTCTTCAGTTTTGGGACAAGGGGCACGCTTGGTAAAACACAAAAAAACAATAGCAGCCACAAAGTTGTATGATTTTTTAGGAAAAAAGTAGTCTTGATTCAGAAAGAGAACATACTTTGGAAGTTTACAGACTAAAGAAGAAAGAAACTCCTTTTTAAAGAAACTATTTGTCAGTTAATTGGCAGAAGTTTGGTATTAAAAGCAACTTTAATACAATTTACTAGAATTACGACAGGGATCAATAAAAATTTATGACATGTAGGGAAGAGCTGAATGCAAAAGTAGTGAATAAAAGGGCAATTAACTACATATTTTTAAGACAATGTAAATATCAATAGCTGCCTTCTAATTAGATCCTTTGTCTAAAATTAAGCCTTTGTAATCGCCATCTGAGGCTGGGGGGGGTTGTTTAAAACTTTACTTCTTCCTGGTATTTATATAAGCTTTTCATATTAATTTTATATTAACTGTTAAATAATTTTTTTTTAACTCTCAGAATTACATTGCCAGTCCTAAAACATTAAATTTAATCCCAGTTCTATTCAGGAAAATAAAATGCCTTACGGTTTTCTGGTGAATCAAGGGAATTTCGGAAGGGAATGAACAAGACAAAAGTAAAATGGTCATTGCACACAGACCATTATTAATCTTAACTTTCTGAGAAATATATTTCTTGTATATAACCAGATTTAGACACCCCCCCCACCCAAATTTAAAAGCAGGTTTCTATTATGGGAGAGCATGAAATTCAATGTTCACCTTTTTAAAGTGTTCAGAAAAATGGTTGCCAAGGTCTTTTGTATCAATGTAATATGAAAGAGGAAAGATAATTTGTTCTCTGTGCTCAAAAATATGGTTTCATTACAAAGAACTTTTAATTCAATCAAATTCTGGCTAAAAGGATGAGACCAGAAGAAAAAACTAATAAGATTGTGAAGGGTCTCTGAAGTGGCTCTGTCTTCCAATTCAGAGCTAGCAAAGATTACACTACAGTTACCCTACATGTTGAGGCATAATAAGACATAACTTCAGTTGCTATGGTTGGAATATGGGCAAATGTATTCCATGTCTGTTCAGAAAAAAAAAGTATCAGAACCCCTTATGTAAATTTCAACCAGTGGTAAGGAAATGTGTGGGATGCCTTGCTATGGGAGAGAGGCTCAGGATTCTAAAGCAGCAGCAACTTAAAATTTAGTAATAAAACTTTGGCTTAAAATTAAAAGCAAAGCAAAGAAAAAGTCAAACTGGTGCAAGTTGTCTCCTGAAAGAGGTACGTGGGACTGACTCTTGTAAGTGTCATCCAGTATTAGTTTCCCCTGTCTTCCTTCACTGTTATCACCTTCATTGCACAGGAGTTATATCATTCGTTTATGGTTAAGCTTCATAAATAATGAGAAAACTTTATGTAACAAATACATCATATTTCCCTCCCACCCAGCAACCCTCCCCAAAATAAGAAAAGTTACATCAAATTAAAAAGTAGCTTCGTGAATGAAGGTACTGCTGTAAGTTGCACTTTTCCTGCAAGTGCGGCCAGTGCCTTTGCGCTAGGTATGAAGGAAAGGAAAAAATTCTCCACATAAACTGACGAAAATTTAAAAATCAATGTCCGGTTTTAACCAGTCAAAACCGGGCCAAACGGAGGCCGAGACATCTCGGTACTGTCCCATCAGAGGGTCTTTGCAAAGCCTGTTCTTCATCCTGATAGGTATCTGTGTCCTTGTGATTTTGAACAATCCATAGATACTATGTTTTTGTCCTTAAAATGTCCTCTGATTGGCAAAATGATGTAATATTTGTTTTAAAAATAGAAGATTAAAATTAAACCAGAAGAAAAGAAAAGAAACACAGTGAGCTTGTTTGGAGTCCATAGGATCCGATCTGGAAGAGCTCGGAAAATGTGTTATGAGTTTTCTCCTGTTTTCAGCTGGAAAAAGGTACTAGAGGTTGCGTTGGTCAAGGAAAGAATTGTAGAGTAGGAAAACCAAGGGTATGAATCTAGACTTCAGAGAATTCAAGTGTTAGCTTCATCATCTGTGTCTTCTATCAATACCTTAGTGTCACGAGCCTTGGATCTAGAGGAAGAAACAGAAAAAAACCTTAGTCTATTACTAAAATACAAACACATTCATTGTATTAGGCACATTTCCAATCTTACCATTAAACAGACATCCTAAACAGGCACTATCTACTACACCAGATGAACTATTTCTGGAATTTCCTATTCAATTTCAGATGTTACTGGAAAGACACTAAAAGGAGGGTAGCAGGTCATTTTAAACAGAGAAAGTAGTAAATTGGAATAAGACGATCTAGTTTTCAATACTGATCTTGATTTATAATATATATTTTTAGCCTCTTTTAAGTGCCTGTTTCCATCTCTGCAAAGAAGGAATAATAGTATCTATTCCACTTAATATCCCTTTCATCTCACGGAGACAGTGAACGTGTACATCAAGTGAGAAAATGGATAATAAAAAAAAATCAATAAGGCATTAAACAAATACAAGGAATTATGATAAGAATGAGAGAAATAATACCACTTGATGTATGCCTGAAAAACTAGGCGAGCTAACCATGGGAAGATAAGATCTAAGGAGAGGCATGACAGTTGTCTTTCAATGGCTGGCAAAACATGATGAACAGCCAGGTGTGGTGACACATGCCTGTAATCTCAGTACTGAGGCAGGACTGCTGTGAGTTCAAGACCAGCTTGGGCTACATGGTGAGTTCAAGGTCAGCCTGAACTCTGCCAGGAGACCCTGTCCCAAAAACAACAATAAACAAACAGACAAACAGTGATGCAGAAAAGGGAGGAGACTCATTCTAAGATACGTAAGAGAACCCAATGAAGATTCCATTGATTAGTTTAATCATGATGAAGAATAATGCATCTCAACATGATTTACTGCTGTCACTATCCAACAATAAAATCAGGTACTTCCCATAGCTGTAAACTTCATTATCACTATTGTCAATCAGAACAAAATGATCATCTACTCAGGATGCTGTGCAGGAAACTGGATGAAAAATGGAATTAGGTAACATTAAAATAGTCTGCAATTCATGAGACTCATGGGGCAAAAGAAGTATTTGAAGAAATAGGAGTTATCACTCTTGACACAGCGCAAAACTGATCTTGAAAAAGATTAAGGATATGTGAAATACTGCCTGAGTCATGAAGTCAGAACTCAACTCAGATCTTATTTTAGATTCCCTGCACTCTGCATTGCACATAACCTGTCCCATTCTAAATGTCTTCCTCTGGTTGAAATCTAGTTTGCCAGTGCTTTTCCACTAAACACCTGAAACTGAAAGTAATCTATCCCCGAACAGCCTATTTCTGAAACAGAAATAGTGTATGTTTAGATTGCCCTCTGCTGGTAACAGCCAGGATTAGATTTTCAATCAGCAACTCAAGACTACAGACTACATACACACCCCAGCCCTCAGCCTTTTGCGGCATTTGTCTAGCTGGCTTCCTTGGTATCACAGTACCACATTTCCCTCTTTCTCCTTCTCCCTCCCTCCTTCCCGGCCTGCCTGCCTGGCTGCCTGCTCGGCCTCCTTTTCCCTTTCCCTCCTCTCCCCTTCCTCTTTTTGCTTCCAAGAATTGAATCCAGGGTGCTGTACCAATGAGCAATATCCACATCACTTTTAAAATTTTGACACAGGGTCTCACTGAGGTCTTGCTGGCCTCACACTTGTGATCTTTTGCCTCAGCTTCCCAAATAGATGGGATTATAGACATGTGCCAACCCCAGCACCATACTTTGCTTTGGTGTTCTTCCTACTGACCTCTCTGATCACGCTTGTCTTTTTTTTTTTTTGTACCCAGACTCGAACTTAGGGTCTCACGCTTGCCAGGCAGGCGCTGTGCCACTGAGCTACATCCTCAGCCTTGTCTTTCATTTTTTGTTTTGCCCAAGACTCAGCTCCTTGCTCTTGCCTTTTTCCTCTTCAGAGAACTTCTAAAACTTCATCTAAAGCTTTGGCAAATTCTTTTCTATTCTGCTATATCCACTGGGTTATGGATTACCACCTCCTTTTTTTTATTTCTTTTAAAATGTCTCCTTTCATTTATAATAGTTGATTTTAAGTATTCTAATTTGAATCATTGTATCACACTTAAAAATAATGCAACTACCTTTTAGTTGGTCTCCAGGTCTTTTCCTTTTCCTTATATATCTTTCATAGTGTCATTAAAACTTCTAAAACACTACTTCTGTGTCATTCTTCTAAGAAAGATAGGGACTCTTTGCCAGGCATCACAGCACATACCTACAATCCTAGTTAGGAGGCCGAAGGAGGAGGATCTCAAATTTGAGTCTAGCATGGATATCTTAGCAAGACTGTCTCAAAAATACAAAGGTTGAAGATCTAGTTCAGCACTACAGCACTTGTTTAGCATGCTTGAGGTCCTGGGTTTAAGCCTGCCTCCATAAGGTGATTCTTTCTTGCCTGCAAGATCAAGCTTGCCCTTTTCAGTCTTTGATAATCCTACTTCCTTTAGAAAACTGCAACTTAAGTTTCTTCCTTCATTCCAACCTACTGTGCTATCTGTTGTCTCTAAGTTTCACATGCAGTCACCATATATTCTACATTTATTATTACTTTTAGGAACATCCAAACTCAATGACTAATAAAAGTATTAGTATAGGTATTCTGTAAAATAATAGCTTCTACTTACTAAACTCTTTTTTAAAGGAACTAGTGCAACTTTCATGTAATAATGAATTTAATCCTCAATCTATAAGCAAGGGCTATTTTAATCCCAATTTACACAGAAGAGATAATGTAGAGAAATTAAGGAATTTGGCTGAGGTTACATAGGTAACAGGATACCTAAAATTTATAACTTGAAGATTATATGTACATAAAACATACTGAGGGGCCAAGTCAATCATTCTCCAGCAAATTCTTCCCTAGGCTGTACACTAATTTGTATATACCCAATTAGTTGGTAATATATGACATTTATTCCATATGTATTCATTAAGACATTCTATAAATTGGGTATAAATTTGCTGTTTATTACTATTTTTTGTAGGTAAAATATGGTTGAATATCAGCAACTTTATTTGGTTCAACTTGATAGCATCTTAGCTTAAATGTTATCCAGTGACAAAAACCAAAAAAAGAACTGGGAGGAGCGGGGCACACCTGTAATCCCAGCACTAGGAAGGTTGAGGCAGAAGAATCAGCATGAGTTTGACGCCAGCCTGGGCTACACAGTCAGTTCAAGGCCAGCATGAACTACATGGTGAGACCCTAAAAAAAAAACCCCCAAACCTCAACAAAATAAAACAAAACAGAAAAAAAAAATATGCCTTACGTAAGTGGAAGTTATACATACTGAGAAGTGAGGCGAGGCCGGCGCAGGGATATGCTCTGATTGTACTTCCAGGACCGATTCTTCTGGCGGTTTCGTACCCCATCATCCTGGTCCATCATCTGCTCTAGGAGTGTCTGATCATCTGCGTTCAGGGGAGCCACAGAGATGTCCCGTACAGCACGAAATTCACCACAGTTATTTAGATGTTCGTTCTCCAGGCGGAAGAAGTTCCAAACAAATCGCCTTAGCAAAATGGGATAGACAATCATATTAATTATAACATACTTCTACTAATTGTAAACTTCTCAGAATATCAAGTTTCTACTCACGGAAACAAAACAAAGAATTAAAGGCTAGAATATTCAAATGAAACAGAGAAAGGGGGTAGAAGGGTGGCATGGGGGAACCAGAGTAGACTATGCAAAATGGAGACTCTTGGAAGGTTCTTTACTCATTATTTCACTTTAATCAACAAGTGTTTATTGAATGCCTACTATAAGAAAGGAAAAGGCAGTAAATGAGACAAAGCCTCTGCATTTATTTTGGTTGTGAAAGTAATCAATCAGCTGATGAAAAGTACTCTGAAGAAAACACAGCAGGAAAAGGCTGCTGTTAAATCTGGTTAGGCAGTGTCTCTGAAGTGAGGGCTTCTTGCAAAAAACTTGAATAATATAAGAACGCAAGTCACATACAACTCCTGGAGAAAAATATCCTTGGAAGAGGGAACAACAAGCATAAAAAGACCCAAGATGAAAATGCCTGCCATGTCCTGAAACAACAGTAAGCAGCTCAGTGGGGCTAGAGCAGAACAAGTGAGGCTAAAATGGCAGGAGATACAAATGGAGAGGTAGAAAAGGGCCCAGCCACAGAAGACCTTACGCTGTGGTAAAGAGCTTAGATTTCAAGTGTGATAGAAAGCAATGAGAGTCTGAACAGCAGAATGAAATGATTTACTTAAAAAAAGATCATTCTATGGCTGAACAATGAATAAACCAAAGAGAGAAAAGAACAGTTGAAGAAACACCAAACACAAGGCTGCTGTAGAGCTCAGAAGAGTGTCTCAGCCAAAGGTGGTAGTAACAGAGGTCATGACAAATAGACAGTCTACAGGATTACTTATGAAATGAAGTTGACAGGTTTTACTGATGAGTGGTTTTTGGGTTTTTGGTCTGAATGAGTAGTAAGAAGGGTTGTTTCTGTTAGTCTAGAGCTATTCAACAGCTAGATGAACATGATGAGCCTGTAATTCAAGGGAGACTTGGGGGTTAGAGATAGTACGAGGACAGTATTTCAAATCATATGCTTAAAAATAATGTAACTGGAAGGGAAAAGAGGGCAAAGGATTAAACCCAGGAGTTTTTCTAGCACTTCTAAGCTTGCGAAGAAGAAGAAAAAAGAATTAGTAAGGTGAGAAGGAAAATGCAGTTTCTGAGAAGTCAAGTGAAGAAAGTGCTTTGCTGAGAGATTAGGTATAGAGAACTGATCAAAGGATTGAGCAAAACAGTATGATCTAAGAGCTTTAACTCTGGGAGACTGTCGAGATTCAAATCATGGCTCTATCACTTACTGGCTATAACAACTATGGATGAGTTACTTAGTTTCCACTTCCATTTCATCAGTAAAATGGAATAATAATGAAACCTATCTCATAAGACTGTTGTGAGGACTCAATCACATAATAATTGTAAAAGGCTTACAACAGTGCCAGAGACATAACTGCTACTATACAGTGTTTGCTCTAATATTGATATTATTATAGATTTATGTAACAGTAATAACATAATAACAAAAATGGTATAATTTGAATATTGGGGACAAATACAAAATGAAGGAGAAGTTAGAGTGGAGACAGCAAATGCAAACATTTATTAAAGAATTTTGTCTCTAAAGGACAGCATAAAGATGGGCAATAGTTGGGAGGGGGAAAGGAGATTTTTTGTTTTAGTATTAAATGAGTGATAAAACATTTGACACTATTATTAAGCAAATCATTTCTTAAGAAAATTATCAAGGATAAAGTAACTTTTTTGAACTATATTTTTTCTTTTTTTGGGGGGTACTGGGAATCGAACTCAAGACCTTGCGCTTGCCAGGCAGGCGCTTATGCCACTGAGCTATATCCCTGGCCCTTCTTTTTTTCAACTCTATGAAGCAGCACACATAAAAGACAAAGAAGCGGGTAGGTGCAGATGATGGTGGGACAGAGGGCTCAGGTCCTCGACCTGGACTTTGGGAAAGTACGGAAGGGCGTGAGGGCTGACAAGTGGGCTAGCTGAGACAGACACTGGCAGAACAAGCACACTGTTTTCAACCATTCTTTTTAGCTTTGTACTTCCAGTTTCTGTCTTATCTTCAGGCAGTGTGTGCCTGTCCTGACTCACAGGAATGCCGTACACCTGTGTGAAAACACTGGATCAAGTCACTTGTGGAGGATCTTTTCACTGGGTAAAGAGTTCTAGGTAGGCAGTTATTTTCTTTCAGAACACTGAAGATTTAATTTTAATGATTTCTGACTTTCCCTGATGCTGTTGAGAAGTCAGCTATCAGTCTAACTTCTACTTCTAACTGCCACTTCTTCGAAAGTAATGTTTTTCTTTGGCTGCTTTTTTAAAAGTATTGTAATTAAGTACAACATACACATACGAAAGTTTGACACCTGTAAGTGTATAAGCTTATCATGAAGTAAACACACAGTGTAATTACTGTCCAGAAATATCATACACCGAAAATCACTTTTAGGTCCCCTTTCCATGCTAACTTCTAGAGAATTTACTGATTTACCTCTCATATTTAGCACTGCAACCCACCTGGAATTGATTTTGCATATACAATAGGAATATACAATATACAATATACAATAGGAATCAGGATTCATTTTTTTCTTAAAAGATCGCCTTCTTTCATCACTGTTATGTAGCCACTTTTGCCATAAACTAGGCAGTATCAGCATACATGTGGTTCTGTTTCTGGACTCCCTAAATACACTCCAGTGGACTATTTGTCTTATTGTCACTAGCCTGGTACACTACGTTGTTCACCGAAGCTACACCATTAGTTTGCAACTGAAAGTATTAACAATCCTTTGTGTTTCCATATACATTACAGAACTGGATCATCAATTTTCATATACATACAAACATTTCATTGGATTTATTCCTAGGTATATAATATGTTCTGATGCTATTCAATTTTTAAAATTTTTTCTAATTATTAGGACTGTTGTCCAAAATGATTTATATTTATATTGATCTTATATTCAGGGATACTGTAACAACCAACCTAATAATTTATTTGTATTTTTAAAAAATTTTCTGCATATGAAACCTTATCAGTGAATAGTTTTATTTTCTTTAAAAAAATTTTTTTTTCTTTTTGGTGGTACTGAGGTCTGAACTTGTCCTTTGTACTGAACTACATCCTTAGCCCTTTTCTTTCTTTAAACAGGGTTTCGCTAAGCTGCCCAGGCTGGGCTCAAAATTTTAATCCTTGTGGCTCAGCCTTCCAGAGTGCTGGGATTTAGAGGTGTGTACCACCACACTTGACTTCTTTTATAATCTTTATATTTTTATTCCTCATTGCACCAGCAATACTTGTAGTAAGGTAAATGTAACTGTCTTTTCTCCCCTTTTTTAGGCCAGTGAAGGTCATTTTCACTCCAGGAATTTTAGGATTCCATACTTTTTAGGATTCTCCAAGTATTCCATCAATGCATCCTCTGTTCAGGTGATACTTTTGCTCTTGTTGGCATCTGTGTAGGAGAATCTAGCAAATTGTCTTCTGTTCAACCAGACTATAGAAATCTGACCCAGTCTTGCGCTTACCTCCCTTCTCCATGAAGTGGCATTGGGCACAATGGTACACAAAAATCTTGCCTTTCTCAACATTAGCCTTTTTTTAAAAAAAATTAATACTGGAGATTAAATCTAGGGTCTTTGCACGGAGGTACATCTCTGGCCCTTTATTTATCTTAGGACAGGGTTTCACCAAATCAGTAAGTTGCCCAGGCTCAAGCTTTCATCCCTCTTGCCTCTGCCTCTGTTTCTGAGAGTGCAGGCATGCGTCACTGTGCCCAGTTACCATCAGCCATCTTTAATTTGCTCTCTCTACTGCAACAAAGTTCTCAGTCAGAAACCAGCTCTTTCTGGAGTAGTCTTCTTAAAGACCTTTGGTTTTGTCAATATTTTCTGCTGTATGTTTGTTTTCCATTCCATTAATTTCTTTATGGTCTTTACTTTTCCTTCTTTTTATTTTCCTTTGGGTTTGATTCGCTATTTTAAATTTTTTTCTGATTTCTTGAGCTATATATACTTTTCTGATACATACATTTAGGGTTATATAGTTTCCTTTATGCTTTTAGCTGCATTCTTTACTTCTTTTTTATTTTTAATTTAATTCTATTCAAAATATTTTAAAATTTGTATTATAATTTTAACTTTGACCCTGGGGTTATTAGACATGAACTGGTTAATTTCTAAACGTGAAAATTTTTTATCTTTTTGTGACTTTAATCTTCTCAAATTGTTGAAACTTCCATTATAATTATTATTATTATTTTGATTTTTTTGAGATAGGGTCTTGCTATGCGGCTCAGGCTGGCCTTAACCTTACTACGTAGTCCAGGCTGGCCTTGAACTTATGGCAGTCCTCCTCCCTCAGCCTCCTAAGTGCTGATTAAAGACTTCTTTTATGACCCAGTGTACAGTTAATTTGGTAAGTGTTCTATTATATGAATTTAAAAGAATGTGCATGTAGTAGTTTATGGATGCAATGCTCAACGTAAGTACATTAGGCCAAGTTGGTTAACTACTTGTTTATCTATTACTGAAGGAAATACGTTAAAACCAGTAAGAGTGTAATATATTCATCTACTACTTAGCGAAGTTAACTTTTGCTTTGCATATTTTCCGCATTATTCATTGTATACAAATTTCAATCTGCAATCACTAATGAATCTCAAAGCCTTTAGGTTTAGAAAATTTTTCAAGTGTAAAAGCATCATTAGTGTTTTTTTGGGTTTCTTTTTGAGACAGGGTCTTGCTATATAGTCTAAGATATGTAGCCCAGGCTGGTCTTGAACCATGCCCATCTCCTGCTTCAGCCTCCCAAGTGCTGGGATTACAGGTGTGTACCACCACACCTAACGACATTAGTATTTTTGTTTGAGACAAGGTCTCATTATGTAGTACAAACTGCTCTTAAATTCACGATGTAGTCCAGGCTGGCCTCCAACTCATGGTGATCCTCTTGCCTCAGCCTTGTGAGTATCGGGATTATAGGAATGTGTTGTCATGCCTGACTAGTGTTTTTTATTTTGAGGTTCCTGCTTTCATTTAGATTTTGTGCTATTCTGTCAAACTGTCGACGCTTTTAGCAAGATTTAAAGAGCATTTTACTCATCATTTTTATTTCAGTGAAAAGGTTGGGCTGAATAACTGAGACTACTAAACTGGAAAAGGTGATTCTCAAAAAATTTTAATTTCTGTTCTAAGACTTTTTATTTCCCAATTTCCACTTACCATTCTCCCAGTGATGCCCACTTACAAGTTCATCATCAATAGGAATCTGGACTTTATAAAAATTAACCTCTAAGTCTTGTAAACAGGATTTTCCAAATGTTAGGTTGATGATAACAAGGTTGAGGATGGAAAATTTAAGCTTTTCAAGTATAATAAATTCTAATTTTAAGCACTGGGCATCTTTTAAGTAAAAAGAATCTTTGATAAATCTTCCAATGGTTTGCTTACCGGAAAACCTCAAGAGGGGCAAAGACAGTAGCAATGATGTCCCCAGAATGAGGCAATGCAGTCATAGAGGTAATTGAGATTTGGACAGTCCAAGCAAAGCGTAGTATCACATCTTCTACGATGGCACAGTAGTAGTAGGCCTAAAGAATGATAAACAAATTGAATATGATTCCTATCACATTTCTCACAAAAATGCATGCCTATTAGTAATAAGACTCCTATTCCATCAATAAGCACAGGATCAAGAGGAAAAAGTTGTTTTCTTTTGAATTTTGCAGAAAAGCATACATTATGTTTGAGGGAAATTTCATCAATTTAGTTTTGTCTTAAATTGTGTGGTATTTAAAATTAAGTATTGCTGAATTTTAGTAATCATTTAACAAATATAATTTACTCCCATATTGTATATGAGACTTTTTTAGGTCCCAGAAATACAAGGTAGATGAAAACCTTGTACAACTAGCAGGTTCATGATGTGTTAATGACATAATAGGTAACATTAAAGAATATAAGCACATTTATTAACTGTACTATTTGTACTTGTATTTCCAAACTGCCTTACCTTATATTTGAAGAAAGTTTTGCCTTGACTTTTGATATCAGTACATGAAATTACATTTGGATTGCACATACCTGGTTGAATTTAAGAAATATTCTTGGGCTGGGGATGCAGCTCAGTAATAAAGTGCTTGCCTAGCATATGATAAGCCCTGAGTTCAACACTCAGCATCGGAAGCCAGAAAAAATTCTATTTCTTTTTAAACACAGAGAAAACAGTGCTCAGCTAATACTTCCAGTTACCAATATTTAGGATTTAGGAGTCCGATTTTAGCTGCCCAAAGGTCTTAAATACACATGAACTGCACTCATAGATTTATTTATTATTAATCTAAATTTGCTCATTAATAGATGTAGCTAAAGGCCGTGACTTCTTGGGAAGTAGAATTGCTATGTATTAAATCATGTTTGTTAAATCATGTTTAGAGAGCTAGTAATAAAAAAAAAGAGCAATTTCCTTTTCAAATCCCTTTTCTAGTCCCTAAAGACACACATTTTCAAAATTTATAGTTATTGCTTCTGTCATTTACCCTCCACATTCAAAACAATATATTTATACTGTTCTACCTTGATTTGTCAATTTTAGACATTATCCAGTAACAAGATTATTACAGATTTTATGAGGATTATTATGGTTTTAATACATTTGCATATCTCCATATACCCTCTCCATCCTACCAATAAAATGATAATGCAATTTTTGGTTAAATTCATACTCAATGTATTCAATATTAGGCCTAAGTGAAGAACTACAATTTCAAGTGGATTTAAGAGTCAGTCTTAAGCTATTTACAGCTGACTGACATGGGATCTAATAATACCAAAAAATGTGAGATTTTTCCAGAGGAATACACATAATTTAAGATCAAGAGACACAGAAAAATTTGAATATGAAAACAACAAAAGTGGCTTCTGGACCTGGAGTATGCCACTCAATACCATGCACTGTTAATTCCTAGAAACTGATTTTAAGGTTCATGCAGCTGTGTTATTATTTCTTAATTAAGGTCCACTGGCCTCTCTAAGTGGTTTCTTCTCCAGCTGGAAGAACTCTATACTAATATTGCTTATTAAAATAATTGCACGGGATGTGGTGATCCACTACAACAGTTTTCTTATAAACTTGAAAATTTTAATGTAGGAAATCATGTACTTTATTTCCTAAGATCATAAAAATATATACTAACGAAGAAACTGATCCTATTCACTAACTTTATTACATAGAAATCATTAAGTTCAAACTATTTAAAAGAAAATGGATTAACATTTATATAAAATACAAACTTCATCTAAGTAATCATAGTACGAAATAATAATGATAACATAAGGCTCAGATACTGTAAGTGGCAATACAACACATTTGGTGGGCACAAAAAAGTCATCTTACCTGAACTCAGGCCTACTCCCTGATTACTGTTTTTCTTTTCAAATGAGATTTATAAAAATGTCTCTAACGTCTTAGTCATGTATTTTATTTTTTTTTGTTTTTGTTTTTTTTCTGGTACTGGGAATCGAACTCACGACCTTGCGCTTGCCAGGCAGGCACTGTGCCGCTGAGCTAAATCCCCAGCCTCTTAGTCATGTATTTTAAATATTTACATTAGGATTACTGCTATAGCTTAAGTTAAAAAGTCACTCTCAATGAATGCCTCTTCTTCCACTTTCATTTGTTCTTCTGAAGTTACCCTACATATTGTTCTTCATACCCACCCTTCTATCATTTATCTTTAGTTTTCAGGCTTGAAAACAGCCTTACCTATTCAACAACTGAATATTATGCATTGACACACATCTTAACATTTTGAGGTACTAGTGACATTTTCATATAGTAAAAAATATTAGGGAACCTATCTATCTATCTATCTATCTATCTATCTATCTATCTATTTTTTTAACCCATAACAGAATTTTATAACTGTAAGTACATCAAGAGATAATCTAACACCCCTACCTTATAGAATCCACTATAGTTTTGTGACTTTAAGTTATATAGTTAGAAAGCTAGGATTAGAATTCACACACTAAGAATCCCAGTTCACTGTTTAATCTCTTTCAAGGTGTAGTTGTGGTATTTATCCTTTCTAAAACACCTCACTAAAGATATTTTGTTTTTCAATTTTTAAATTAAACCTGTCTTGTTTTATTCATATTTAGATAATATCATAAAATAATTCCTCTATAATTATTTATATTTTTTGCTGGAACTGAAACTTGACTGCAATAAATACTGGTTGAAATAAACAAAAGAGGCCTTCTTGATGCACCCAATCAGAACCATGCATTCCCTTTCCTTTGGGCATTCATAACACCGCTCATTTAGTCAATTATGTATTCATTCATTCCATAAAGATAAAATCTACTGTAGACTAGAAACTATGCGAGGCAGTGAGAAAACACACCCCAAAAGATAATTGTAACAATGTGATAACTGCTATAACAGAATTTTATATAGGTAAAAAAGACTAGTAAGAATGGTTAAACATGCTAGGAAAAACACAGACCTCTTAGAGAAAGTAACTCTAAATTGACTTTTAAAAAGGAGGAACATAAATTTATTGTAAAGCAGACAAAGGGAATAAAGGACATTTCAGAAAGAGGGAATTCTGTGTTCAAAATAAAAACTACAGTAAGTTTCTCTTTAGTCTTTATTGCATTGTATCACACTGTTTATTTCTGTGTAGAAATAGAGTTTATGGCCTCCTAGGGAATTGGAATTATATTTTGTTCTTACTTTCTATAGTGTTCATTAGCAAATATCTGATACATTTTTAGTGAATAAAATTAGTGTTTTTGGTAATCAGTTTTCTAATTGTATTAGGTTATAATTAGGGATTGGGCTTCTATCACAATAGGATTTAACTAATGATACACTTAAGTTTTTTTTTTAAACAAACAATAAACACTTTGTACATACTTTTTGAGGATACACAATCTCTTCCCGGAGGAAAGTGTTTTCTCCAGCATTCTTATCAAAGAGACCCCAGTCCATCTTTAGATCCCAAATCAGGGTATAGCAGGAACTGATGATACAAAAGACGATCCACAGGTAAAAGAACACTACAGTATCTGAGTGATTTCGTTCTAAAGAAAGAAAAGGAAAAGAGAAAATTACTAGACTTAAGTAAATTTCTTCATCAAATAAAACTACTCAAAAATAGATTAACTATAGTATTCCATAAAGGAAATAAGACTTTAAGGAGATTTCCTCAGCAGAATCACTGTCTAACCAAGGCTAATTAATAAAGATGATTTTTCTGAGATCCAGACAAATCATTAAACACTTATCGAGTATACATTACTTGTACAAGTATGCATATGGTGTTTTGAAGGGTCTATGCCGAATACATAAAAATCCAAGAATGCAAGTTTTGAAGTCATAAAATATGTCATTTTAATTTTTGCCATCAGATGGCAGCTTAGGGTAAAAGATGAAGCAAATAAATCCTGGAAACATCACTCTCAAAGAATGAGCTGCATTTACTTCAAGAAATTCTTGGGTTGCTTTTACTTTACAACAGTTCTTTCATACTCTTAGATCTTGTCAATACTTACTGTGAAGGTGATTAGATAATTCTAGATAAAATGCCAGAGAGTAGCTGCACACAGGGCTGCATGCTTGTAATCTCAGCTAGATGGGAGCCTGAAACAGGTGGACCCCAAGTTCAAGGCCAGCTGGGCAACATAGCAAAACTGTCTCAAAATAAAAAGGATGGAAATGTAGCTCAGTGGTAGTGCTTGCCTGGCATATGCAAGGTCCTCCGTGTGGGCAGTGGGGAAGGAGAGCCAGAAAGCAACAGACTAATAAGGAATTTATCTTTAAGGACATAATCAAATTTTAAAAAGCTTAAATTTTGGTCAGTTTCCCAAAAGTACAGAAAGCAAAGGCAACATCACTTATTTCCACGATCCTTCCTATTAAAATAGTATTTATTAATGTTTTAAGTACAGATGATTCAAAGGTAATTATCAGAAATTTATAATCTAGTGAGTGAAACAGACATTTGTTACTGATAAATTTGAAGCCAAAGTGAGGTCAAAGTGAAATATAAATAAAGTGCTACGAGACTATCAAGGAGAATGGGAATGTTTCCAACAGTAAGAAATAAGACGAAGTGGCGTTTGAGTTACTTCTAGAAAAAGAAACAGTATTGCAAAAGCCAGGGAGATGAGGTAAGGTCACCCAAGGGTGAAGGAAGACAATGAGAAGGCATGGGGCAGGACAGCACAAGTTATGTTTGAAAATCTACAAATAATCTACATCTATGGTAGGTGACACATAGAGGATGTAAGGGAATTGGGATAATTTAAATGAAGCTGTGGAATGTCTTCTTGGGTCTTGGGATCAGATTTTTATTTTTGAAAAAAAAAAAAAACTGGCTGGCAAATTACTTACATGAGAATTACTTAATTAAAAAAATAGATACCTCAGCCAGCTCACAAAAGTCGATGTGTTAATTTTTCAGAACTCTGGCTACAGTGGAAATATTTATACCATGGAAATCAGCAAACACACAAAACAGTGCCCATTATCTCCATTCCCTTCAAGGTTTGTTAAATATAAACATATACCAGCATCCACCCACCCAATACTAGGGAATAAAGCCAGGGTCTTCCCGCTGAGCTATAATTCAGCCCATTTTTTGTTTCTTGTTTTGAGACAGGATCTCATTAAGTTGCTAAACTGCCCAGTCTGGGCTTGAAATTGCAGTCCTCCTGCCTTAGCCTCCCTGAGTGCTGGGACTACAGGCATGTGCCATCACACCCAGTGCTACCCATCTGTTTAGCTTCATCTCTTAGAAAATCAATGGTAGGGCAAAGCAACTGTTTTAATTTTTTTAGTACTGGGAATTGAACTCAGGACCTTACGCTTGCCAGGCAAGCGCTGTGCTGCTGAGCTATCTATATTCCTGGCCCAGCAACTGGTATTCTTAAAATGGTCCACAATAGCTGGGTGTCATGGTGAATGCCTATCCTCTCAGCACTCAAGAGGCTAAGGCAGGAGGATTGTGACCTTGAGGACAGCCTGGAATGCACACCAAACCAATTTTCAGGTCAACCTCAATTACATAGCCAAATCCTGTCTAAAAAAACAAAAGCAAAATACAAAACAACAAAAAAGGCATGAGTGAGTCTAATGAACAGTCCAGCTTCACTATGAACGTATTTTCAGGCTTCAATTATTTCTACAAAGGTAGTTCTTCAAAAAGCAAAGTGGGTTGAAGATTTATACTACAACACTATATATGAACTTAAAATGTCTAACATTTTATTGGTGTAGCTGGATATATTCTAACATGTTTACTTCATTCTATACAGAGATACAGAGTCTAGCTGAGTGGTATCATTCAACTATTAACACCGTGGTTGCATTTTAAAAGATGCTATAATTCACCTCCTTATAAAGCATGAAGCAAACTCAGCAACTTAATAAAATTCACTATTCTCATACTTCCAAAACAAGATAAATACAGAGATAAAGACAAACACCTTAACTATAAATTATATTACCAACTTTTAAAACTGAATGCTTAGTATGTGCCATGTACTCTACATATATTACCATATTTGGTTTTCCCAACAATAAACTATCATTCTGTTTGCTAGTAAAAGCAAAGATAGAACAGAGTAACTTACAATTAGTAAGAAGCAACAAATGAGTACTTTTCAGTTGAGTAAAGGCAATACTGTCTTATTACTGAAAGCTGATTTTTTTCTTTAAAATTACTGAATAATCAAATGTAAATTATTACATAAAAAGGAGCTTGTTTTTTAAAAGTTAAATAAAAAAGGATTTAACAAAACTAAAAGCAATGTGTTTATTTTCTCGTCTTCCTAGATTTTAAGACCTTTCTTTTTAGTATAATTCTTAAGATGGTACAGTGGGTCAAGTATTTCCCTCTTTTCAAAGCTCATTTTATTTCTATGAAATTTCTATGTAACACACACGAGGACTTACTTTTATATAAACAAATATTCTTACAGAATATTTCAAAGTAAGTAATGAATTATCTCCAGGAATTTGTCAATTACTAGCATAAATCTGGTCTATGCATGCTACATTTCAGTCTTATTTTAATTATCACCCTCATTTGATCTTTCCCATCACACAAATGAAAACAGCCGCTCCTTGAAAGCATCTGCCTTCATTGGTATTCAGAGGATATACTGCAAAGATATTATCACTTTAGGCAAGCAATTATATCTTATTCCCTCTTGGCTAACACTGGTAGTCCACTTTAGTAATGTACAGAATCACAGAAAATCAAGTCATTGCTATTCTACTTTAAGCTTCTATCTATTACACACCTGCCACATGAGAAGCATAATTCACATCGAACATATTTATGGTAATGGTCTCTACTGAATCCAAAACACATAACAAATAAAATTCTTACAAGTTTTGTGCCGCTATAGCCATTGTGAATGATAAAGTAAAATAATGTTATAAAAGGTGATTTTAAAATTCCAGAAAAATTACATATAGAAATCATCATGAAGGACAAGAAGGACATTTTAAAAATAGTAATATTTTTATCTAAAAATCTCTTTACTCTTATAATTATTACTAGCTTTTAACCTGGAGTTAAACAAGAAAATACAATACAGAAGGTACAGTTTTCAAAGCCTAAACCTACAGAATAAGGTGAATTATGACTGAGGATATTATTATCATCTGGCAAATCCTGGACCTATTCTCATAGCCTGGAAAAAAAAATCAAGCCACAGAATGAGATTTATGCTATTCCCTAAAAACCAACATACAGAAGGTTCTCAATTTGTGGTTTTGCTTACAATATTTACCTTAAAATGGTGTGAAAGTCATATTCATTCAGAAGACACTGTACTTTGAATTTGGATCTTTTCTCACGCCAGTGATATGCCATAGGATACTCTGTTGCTAGGCAGCATCAGTGAGCGTAGCTCTAGTCAGCCATGAGATCATGAGTTCAAACAACTGATACTCTATAGGCTACTGCGTTGCTTAGCAATGCTATTTGGTAAGTTAGGCCTACTAAGTACATTTTTGACTTAAAATATTTTAAATATTCTGAGTTGATCTTAACTTTAAAATGGTAAAATAAGTTCTATAAAACTATGAAGTAACATTAATAACATTTCTAAGATATCATGGAAAAATACTTTAAAAGTTATACATGTATGTTATGGGGTATAGCTCAGTAATAAGAGTGCATACTCAGTGTGTATGAGGCCCTGGCTTCAATCCTTAGCACCAATCTAAAAACAAAAGACCCCCAAAACTATACATATATTATTTCATATTGTATATAAAATTATATTTATAGAAAAAGACAAAAGTAGTTATCCCAGATGAGAGACAATATTAAGGGGACTCTAACTTTATTTGAAATCTATCTTTATAGAAATATATATACATGTCCATGCTTTATTTGTATAATTAAAAATAAAAGAAAAACAAAGAAAGTGGGGTGACCACCAGAGCAACATCCGGGGAGAGGAGGAAATAAAGTCAGAGCATGGGAAAAAGGGTACCTTGTTCCCCGAGACTGGAGAAAATGTAGTGAGAAGGAGTTTGGGATAAACAGGTTAAGAACAATGTAGTAGAAGGAAATTGATAGGCTCAGCTTTCTCAAGCTAGTAAGACACAAGGTGGTCTGTAAGAGTAAAGAGGGAAAGGCTGAGTTGATTTAATGAAAAGCAGTGAGGATTGTTATAAAAATCCTTTTCAAGTTAACATCTGTGAGATCAATACTGTGTAACTGGTAAATCAGCAAAGGACAAATATATCTGCAAGTATAGAAAGAAGTGATCTCTCCTTCCTATGATAGTGTCATAAAACATTCTGTTTGTCCATGTATGTCTTTTATATATATATATATATTTTTTTTCTCTTTCCTATAAGTCTGTACTCAAACATTTTAAAAAGAATTTAACTTTAGAGGAAAATGAACTGTATACCTTTTTGTCTTTTCCATTAAGTTGTAATGTTTTCCAGGGAATGATCTCACATCTGTATTTTCTGAGACCCTATGTAGCTAGGTGCTTAATAAAATATCTGCCAAACTGAAATGAGGTGAGGTCTATGCTTTACTCATTCTTCT